TGGTGAAGTTACCTCTGTCATATATATATGAACATACATGGAGCAGGGGAATTTCCTGTGCTACAAATCGAGGTGCGTAAGAAAAAAAATTAAGAAACAAAGAAAAACTTTAATACCAACTATATGAACATATAATTGATTATTTTTATTTAAAAAATTATATGTAATATTGTTTATAAAAATTATAATATTACAAATTATAACCAACTATATTATCTCTGTTTATGGACTTCATCAATTTTGTAGTCTTCAAAGGTTAACGACAAATCAAACCAGCTTTCCTCCATAATCTTTTTTTCAAAATTTCCCTTGGCTGCTGTCAATGACTCAATCTAAGTCCGTGATTGGTTTTAATTAATTTCAAAAATTTCTATTATTATGCATTTAAGTTTTTTTTTTGTTTAAAAAATAAAAATTATATAAAAACTATTAAAAATCACATATTGTCCTCACAACTAGTAATAAGGTCAAAACTAAAATAATAGACTAAAACATATAAAATGCTTCTCATCAAAATAAAGTAAATTTAAATTAAAATAAAGTAAATTTAAATTAAAATAAAATAACTTAAATTTGACAGATAAGATCATCACACAACATAATTTTGTGAAACCCATCGCACAGGCATTAAGGGTTTTTTGGTTCAGTCACGTGAACCCTATTCACATGATAAGTAAATTTTTTTTAATGAAAATTGATGACTTGAAAGCAATTTTCTTTATAATGTCATTAAATAATGTCTGGATCAATAGAAAAATTTTCCATATTACATAAATGGATCCTACATATATTAAATTATTATAAACCAACCATATTATCTCTGTTTATGGACTTCATCAATTTTGCGGCCTTCGTAGGTTAAGGACAAACCGACCCAGAGCTTTCCTCTCGAATCTTTTCGCAAAAGTTGTTTGGGCTACTGTCAATGAGTCAATTTGAGTCCGTGATTGCTTCAGGGAAAAATCAAAGTTCAAACTTCAAAGATGATGGGTTGTCGGACAGTTTGGAATTGATGTGTTGTTGACTGACCTAATAATGCATGCACCATGTATAGCTTTATACTCTGACCATGTTAATGTACTGTAGAGTAATGATTGTTTGTTTGGACTAGGTATTACCTGGAAGTTTTAGTTAAAAACACCTTTAATTAAAAAATAGTCCGCTCCAATTTAATGGTATGAATATGAGTTAGGGTATTTACTTTTTGTAAATGTATAGTTTTGAGTTTGACGGATTTCCTTTTTTTTTTTTTTTTTCTAATATATCTATATCTAATTTCAACCTGTTTAAAAAAAATTAAATGTTGTTATTTTTAGTTGAAAATGAATTGATTATAAAATTAAGATCTTTGGATAAGGGAAAGAATTTAATATTAAACATTT